GCCGCGAAACTATCCGTCCTCGCACGGAAATACATGTAGAAATGACCTAGTGTGTGCAGGAGCATAGGAGTGGAGGAATGCAGCATCACTTGATGATACAGAAAGAGTTACTGTTAGCAAACAATAGTTTCAGGTGTTAAAATCATCTCTGTACATGATGTACATGTAGATAAAACAATGCCTACTAAATATTTCTGTCTATACTGACTTATTTGGTTTGCTGTTCCTCAATGAAAACTGCTGTATCTGTGTTAAATAATGTCACAGTGATATCATTAAACAGTACCTCCCTACTATGCTATAGTATCTGTGCAACTGTGTGGCTAAAGGGCTAAAGGAATAGAGATTGGCACCGCCTTATACCCCAAAAGTTCCAGTGGAGATAAATACATTCCAACAATATGTTTTTTACCATTCTGTTGAACTTTTCTTGCATAATGAAGACAGAGAAGCACTAACTAAAACAGAAACATGTCATAAAATTATTACATACAAATTAGTGCATCAGAGATCCAAGTAATAAAAATGAGTATTGAATCTATTTCCCCATCACAAGTATGTAATGTCCCCTTCACAATGTGATTGAACCAGGTTACAAATGGCTCTAATGTCTGCTATTGGCAGTTCCATGCACCAGAGTGTACATTACTTCTCCACATAAAAAAATTACTTTCCCACAATCGTTTCCCTTAAATCTGACACTGGAGTATCATAAAAAGATGTTACTGTTTCCATCTGAGATGTTGTCAACATCTTGCAGAAATGATAGTGGCAAAATATTTCAATTTCATGGTATTTCAGTTTTCACATAGTATCAAATACTACAGAAGGTACTGGATGAAAAATTGAACCATCACTTGAATCTGGTAAAGACTTGAAAGTTCTTAGAATTATTGTGGAATACTTATTCTTTTCATGAAGAGTTAGAAACCCCTGTACAACACTTGATTCAATTGATAGCCCCTAAAGAGACATAGAATGACATATTATACTTTCTTGTCATTGTGTATGAAGTTGTTAGACTTGGATTCAATCAAAATGATCTCTTTTCAGTCGTAAAATAAATGAAGGACATCTGAACGTCCCCTTTACTGCGTACTTGTGTAGGAGATGTGACACAGGGGTGCTGTAACATTGACAAGCTGGATAAAAGATCTCCTTCAACACTATAAACATGCAACACAAAACTGATGCCTTCATTTAACCACAATCAATATACCGTAAATCGCGTAAAAGTTGTAGTAGTTTTACGTGCATGGTTTCTTTTCTGCAGTATCTCTCACAGCTGCAGCAATGAGGTGTCGAATGGCTGAATGGCAAGGCAAGCTGACAAGGAATCAAGAGGTCATGGGTTCAATTCCCGGGTTTGCTGGCTATACATGTAGATATTGCATTCTTAGGAAAAGCAGTTACACAACTTCAAACTTCAACTTTAAACTCTCACTCCACCCAAGTGTACAATGGGTACCTGAATGCAGTTTGGGAGGTAAAAGGCAGTGGAAGGAGAGGGATGGGCTCTTCCAATACTGTGCCCTAGACACAGTGGATTAACAACCTACTGCCCCTGCCACCTCAAAAAAGAACTTACTGTATCTGATCGCAATGTTACAGAAAATGAACATTATCAGACATAGGTAGAGAACTGCATGTTTAGTTCAATGGAAAGTTTACCTAGCATGACCTACATTTCAGGTGATGTTGGCATTTATACATGTCATTTGCATGAAAATTGTTGTAAAGCAGACATAAAATAAACTTTTATTAAGTACGTATCAAAAAGGGTGTCTTTATTCATAGCATTTGCATGGAAATCCCTATAAAACAAAATGAGCAGAGGCATAAAATAAAACACTTATCAAGTCTTAAAATGCAATAGAAGAAGACTTATTTCAACACTCAATTCATGTCCCCACATAGATTATGAAAGCTTTTGAATTTCTTTGACTTAACAAACGTATTCACTCCCTTGTACATTCCATCACTGTATTCATGCATTCATTTTGACAAAACAACATGTTGAAAAGCGCCAGCCAAAAGACATATGATTCCAACAGCACCTAACATCATTTTGACATGTAAATTCTTCACACCGCGTTAGAATTTAGATTAGCTTTTACGGCCGATACCTTTTTTATTCCCGCGGTGACGGTCTCGCGACGGGGTTCGGAATGACCGAAAGAAATTGGGTCAGCGCCTCGCTAATAACGGGAAAGGTCACCTTCATGAGGATTTATTCGCGGAACGATGATGAAAGATGCGGAGACGAGAAGACTGGTTCCGTATGAGTTGGGAAGGCAGAATTCATTACAGGAACAGAAAGGTCACACGGAAAATGGTGAATAAGCACTCTATAGGAGATCATTGTTACAGAATGTGGCAATACTTTTGGAAAATCTTATCTCATAAGAATCTCTTCTAATAATCACAATATATCGTCATTCTATACAGGTATAATGTTACACAAAACTGGAGAAACAGTCACTAGGAAATACAGTATAAATTGAGAAATATTTGTTGTGGCTTAACAGTGTATATTAGTTTTTATACGCTCTGTCTACAGTTACTATGGTTGTTTCAATAGCAAACTCTTTCTTTCTCCACAAAATTTAGTCCCCCAAACTTGGGCAATTAACAGTTTAGGACATACAATGCATGCAGTTTGATCACACGAAAACTCAAGAGATGATTCCAAGCACTGGAGCCCACCCATAAACTATTTGAACACTCCCCCATGTTTTAACATTTCACAAGTGTAGTTGATCATCAGACTGGCAAGCCCCAGAGGGAAACGATCCCAATAAGTTTTACTTCTACACCCCCCTCTAGGGAGGAATGGTCTGATTACTCCATCTGTTGCCATGGCAACTAGGAGCAACCAGTGATGCAGAAGATGTGTTCATTTTCAACAGGCTGAGATAAGATAGATGAATTCGGACTATGCCATTGAGGAGAAATATAGGGAAGGTAACACTGAAAATTAACCTGCATTTGACAAATTTTACCTGCACCACTCAGACTTTGAAAGATATGGATCATACAAAAAAGGGCCATTCTTTTAGACTCTATATTTGATAACAGTCAATGAAGGAAGGAAACAAAAATCAACATTCACCTAAAAACCCAGTGCATGGACCAGTGCAGGTTAGGTGCAGGTACAGGTACACATAAAAAATTATAACTTGCACAGCTCCGATTTTACCTGCACTAACCCAGTATTTCAAGCCGTTGGGGAAGGCTGAAGCAACATCAGTGGTGGAATAGTTGGAATGGTGTTGCCAGCATGTTTGCTTATTGTAAAAATTGTGGTGTTTTCTATCACAACACCATCCCCATCCATAAACACATATTTTCCTTAAACTGTCCCACCCTAAATATCTTACTTCATTACTTCGGGCCGTATGAAGTGATTTCCTTGGTTCTTAAGCATTTTTTAGTAAAAAAATTAGATAGAGAAAATCTTACATCTGTCTATGTGCTATGGTTAGAACTATATTTGGAATGCAACAGTTTACACTTACATAATATCAAAGAATGTAGCCTATCAATAAATCCATTACACATTACTAATACATATAAACAGTATGCTACAGTATGACAGACTGAAATTCTGAAATTCCTGAAGAAGAAACATGGAGAATGGTACAGACACAGTCAAACTGAGCAAACATCAAAAGAAACTTGAAACAAAATTTGTAAGTTCTCTCCTAAATTACCTGTTTCCACCTCCAGGCATGTGGGAACACGTGTACCCTCCTGTTTCGGTGAATCAAAAGAGATCTCTCCAGCTCCATAATACCACCTCAGAACTGGCCAGAGTTCAAACAAGCCGTCTAAGCCCTATCTCTTTGAAACACTGGGCATTCGGTTACCTTCATATCTCCATATATAGACACAGTTACAGACTGATGAAATATGGGATATCTGGGTCAGTGTTTATATTTGGACAGGGCGCATCTTCAATATGCTGTATCATCATTTGTCTAGCAAGGTTTCAAGTCTGGATGACCCAAGTGACCCCGTATGAATGGAGGAAGACCTTGGGGTTACTAAGGGGTTACGAAGTGGATTCTTTGGTCTAGGAAGTTCTTTGCATTGTTGGGGGCCTGCATGCCCTTCTTCGTAAGGCGTAATCAGGCCTTTTCAGTTTCGTAATCCGTAGACAGCCTCCCCAAAAATCAACGTAATTCGTAATAGAACATTAACTGCAAAGCGTAAAGTCGTAATCAGCTCTGAGGCTTAAATGTAATTCGTAATTGGAGGCGAAAATTTTGCTTATCGGTAATTCGTAATCACTACCCCCCATGCAGGCCCTCAGTCATTGTTGAACAGCAGAATATCCTGATTACTATTAGCAAATAGCATGGAAGGATACTGGCAAAGCTACATTCATGTAGGCCAAACAATGCTCAGTGTTCTGTCTTCATTTCTTTCTTTCATTGATTTTTGGACACAGAGCCACAGGACTTCAGTTCAGGCCATTGTTAATATTATCCTGGTTATCTCGTGGGCTTAAGGCCTTATTGTGAAGATATGAAGAGTCTAGGAAACAATCTCCCATCCATTGATGCTAGGACTTTATCCCCTATCACCAGCTTTAGTGCCTACACGCATGGCTGGTTTAAAAACAACAACAAACTTTGAAGGGCAAGGTAAAACACAAAGTCTATAGCTTTCAACAAATTTCATTGGGTCAGTCTATTGAAGAAGACCAAAGTGACTGGTCAAAAGCTGTAGACCTGAGAACAATCTCTCGTGTTGGAGCAAAAGTTTCAACTTAAAATACCAACACAGATGAACTTTCGTGATAGGAGGTAAAACAGTTGAAACTGTATTTTCTTCAGCTAGAGTCTTGAACAAAATTCCTAAGCATATAGTCATCAGGTATCATGGTTAGCCTTACAATTATCAAAGCTATCCTGCATTTAGACTTCGAAACAGGAAATACACAACTGTACTATGAACTAGCGCCACACAGTGGTTAAAAATGGTACTGCACCCACCTGATATGACTGGTTGCTGTCTGTTGTCTGTAAGGACAAAGAGTATAACTGTAAGCAGTGTTTTACTTTACAATGCCATTTGTGTGTATAAGACTTTGTAGTTCATGAAAAGATAAAATATAACATGCACAGTAAGAGATATTTACAAATCTGACCTCTCTGCTGCTCTTGCTTTTCTCGCTGCTTCTGTCGTCCTTTTGTTCATTCTCCTGTTCTCTCTCTCCACTCGGTCTCTTCTTTCTATCTGTTGGTGCATTTTCCCTTCCACTCCTGCAACAAATGGCAAAAGATATTTCCAAAACTTGTTAATCTTAAATCTCAATATAGGATTTTGGTGTCCTAGTTGTTGGACTGTTTCCAGGGCCTACACTGACCAATTTCTCAGCTCCAGGACCAATATGCCCCCACTAATTATAATTATACCACAGCCACCCTCATAATCAGTTAGGCCCTGATCCTTGCTCTAACTCTGAACCAAGCATGTTATGGGTCTGGCATTCATCTTTACATGGGGGCCAGGATTCCCTTTTCCGTAGAGCGTAATACGCGTTTTAATTCTACGTAATGCGTTCTAGACACTTGGAATTTAGCGTTAAGCGTAATCGCTACTGTAGCGTAATACGTAGCCAGATCTCAAAACTTAGCGTACAGCGTTGTCGGGACCCCCCCATGCAGCCCCCTTACATGAGTGCAGGCACATTTTTTATTAAGGACAAAAAAATGACTTCATGATGCCAAGATACAAGCACGTTTACCTCTCATGATCTGAAGGCAACCAAAAGTCCTCCATATCCTGACACGGCCCCACAAACGAGCTGGGCTCGATGTGCACAAAATTCTTGTACGCAGATGACTTGGCGGAAACACAGCTCTTAAACATCCCGCGAAACATTCTCCTAACTTTCACAAGCCTCAACAGTCAGGAAAACCTATCAGACTGGTCTGACCATCACGAAATTTCACATTTTTAGCACAGAAACTGTAACTCTTCTATAGGAGCTGGACTATGTCAGACGAAAACACTGTCGGCACCCTACATCACTGCCTTGTTACGAAGTCGTCTCTGCTCCTGCTCAAATTTTACAGTATGTTGAAAAGTCCTGACCTAAAGCTTAGGTAAACTGTGGGGAGATCCATTAACGTTTGTATGTCATCACTCTCACACGCACGCCTTGTTATGTTTTGTCTTTAATGTTAGCAAGACTATATCTAGAAGAAGAATGAACTGTAGAGTAAAGTAGAATAAAAAAGCATAGCAAAAGAAAAAAGCAAACCAATAAAAAATGTTTTCTTTAAATCATTTTTGGTATCTTTAAGACCAAGGCTTTTGACCTACAAATCCATGGATACCTCATCTTTGGACATTTTGTTGAAATTTTGAAATGATAGAAATCTTAATATTCATATGGGAAACCACTGGTAAGTACTAGATGAAAAATAATGTTCAATTCATTGCTAAATAAGATAAGACAAGATAATTATTATCATTCTTATCACTATGATCTAACATTTGTTACTATTTGCTGAGTGCTACATTTTTGCTAATTGCTATTTCTGGCTAATCATCTTTTTTGATACTGTACTTTTAAAATATAGTTTGAATCTCTGATAGACAAATATAACCCTAATCCTATGATGTCCACTCCATATGTTCTGAACGGTCCCTTGCATTTTGACAAAAGACTGAGTCCATCTCACCAAACTGTTACTTTCCAAATACGGCAGCCATGTGTATTCTGGGACAAACGAGCTGCTAGGGTTACTCAACTCACTTAACCTCGCCAATCACTCCTCTGATTGGTTACCGAGCTCCCACAAAGGAGGACATTCATTGGTTAATTATTCACTGATTGATATTTTCACAACTGCAACATATAGCTCGTCGGCAATACGTACTGCGCCTGCTGAAGTTTTCGTAGAATTTTTGGTCACTGTTACATCAGAATTTTGCCTGTTGCAGACGATATTTTTTCTGACAAAACATTTGGAAAGTCAGTCCTGTCAATAGTAGAATGATTTGCACTGCTAAATCCTGTCAGCAGTGCAATACTTTCTATTCTTGACAGGACGGTCGAGTGTTAACCTTATAATAAGTTATATGCATGAATACAACCTTATATGAGACATTCTGCCAAAGTGCTATGCACAATACATTACGGGTTTTGTGCAGGTGTCATATGTTCTGCCCCCCACCCCCCGACATGCTGCAACATACCTGTTAGGTCATTGACAACCAAGGAGGTTATAACTTAAGGCCCCCTAGCTTATAGGGACAATGTGAGAAGGTAGAAATAACTTACCTCATTTTTACGACCAAATTTGCACAGGTAAGGATGTATTCACCTGTTTGAGATGACCTCTATGATAACCTGACCTGCAAAGCCTCAGGGTTTAACTAAATTCCCCTTTGATGTCGGTGTTAGTTTACAGATTGTTACACGGACGTAATCACAAAGGCAAACAGGTATGGACCTGCTTTCTAAAAGCAAGGAGGTTATTTTTCTGTAAACTTCCTTGCTAAAAGCAATATTCAAATCCATTTTTAAGTATGAAGAATACTGGTTACGGATCACACTAAGAACTGTTAAGAATCCATTGCCATTATTTCTTTTTTTTTCACTTCATTCAAAAATGAACCAAAATGTGGGTGTTACAAGTCAATTACAAGTAAAAATCCACATACACATGTATAAACCCAGTACATGGGCCAGTGCAAGTAGTAACCAAAAATACCTGCACAGCAACAATTTTACCTGCCCTAAGCTTCCTGCATATGCAGGTGGTATTTCGAGTCTTTTAAGACTATAATGGGGAGACCACCTTGGCTTGAGTTAATTTTATTGGCAGAACTATGCTTAACAAACAAAAACAGGCTGTCCCCAAAAGTACCAAAGACTTCACACTCAACACACATGTATAATGTCCTTGGTAGAACCAACAAAATTACTGAAACAAATTACAAAGAACCACCCAACTGAAAGTTTCCCCAGTTCTGAATGACACTTTAGAAAAAGGTCCGTCCCCCGTGCTCACAATGTGGGGAGATAATTATAGTCATTATGTCGGGATGATTGTGATTACAGGGAGCTACCACTGGAACAGGAAAACACACAACAATGCACCCAGGGTAGGCATGTGAACAAAGTATGCTGAAAACGTTCACTCTGTTAACATTCAATAGTCTTCTAGCCTGGAAGAACTAGTTCATGTAACCAAGGCCGCAAACCTGAATGTTCAATGAAAACCAAAGTGATACAAATGATCCAAAATGATACCTGTACCAGTTACGTATAGAACTTGCTGGGGATAAGGATTTTTTGTTACATGTACTTGCAGAACTGTGCCTATAACTACTACCGTACGGTACTAAGTAGTACTAAGCATAGAACGGTGGTTGAGGACTTTTTGACTGTCTTGAAAATAACAACATGGGTTGACAGTTCGAATCTAATATTTTGAAGATAAATACCATGTTATAAGATGATAACTGGGCTCGAAATTCATTTAGGAGAATAGTGAGTGCACTGGTGAACAATACTATATTACTATATATAGGCGTCACCAAACAAATCATGAATCCCCTACACTTCCATGGAATAGTCTTATCACATGAGGATAGACTTTCTCTATCCTCTGTCTAGACACCTGATTATAAGTCTGCATCTTGGGAATTACCTTCTGCATAGAAAGTTGTTGTACAATTGCACAACATCTCTGAGGTACAGAAAGTCAGGGAAACCTAGAGTTACAATAACAAAGGGGGAGTATGAGTGTCCCAGTAAACTAGGATTGCAGCCAAGCTAGGTTCAAGCAACTTTAACCCACTCTCATATAACAGATTTAACACACATTACAGTCTTGACCTGCCATGTACTTGGTGATTCTTGTGGGTGTACTTCTTGTATTGCTTCTGGACCTTACTAAATCTTGTTTCAATACAATTTATACTACTTATTAGATATATTTAAATTATGCTTAACCTCCTATATTGATTGCCTATTCTGTGTATTTTAATACTGGTTGTCATCGACTATGTAAATTTTGATGTTGTATATAATATGTGTATTTGTATGGGGGAGGGCAACTTGTAAAGGTGCGTATGCACCTGTTTTGCCCTCCCTTTCACTTTGTGAAAATTAAAATGAATAAATACACAAACAAACAAATAAATAAATATTCAACTGACTACTCTCTCGTACTACATGGCTCACAAAAATGAAGCAACAATGTACGTTATAATGATCGTTTCTCATTGAAAAGAAAACAAAAAAAATGCTCAAACCAAAAACTCAAACCTGTGTCCTTTACATAAAGGTATGTCATAAAACAACACATAAATTGTATCTTAAACAACACACTGTCAAGTACCCATGTTATATAAAAGCACTGTAAACTGAAAAATGGTCTGTCTATATACACAATTCCTTGCTGAGTCTGACTCACGACATTTGTGAGTAAAAACCAACAGGTGTGATACCTGTCCCCATTGTTACAGGTGAGTATGATTTACCTGTTACCAAATATGGGCACTTCCTGTTTGAAGTCAAGTTCTAATGGAATCCTATACTACAGAATAGTTTAGCAAGTATGTATTTTGTACTTGATACTGTTTAGATTTCTTTTAATAACAACTCACCAATTTTGCTGGCTCCTTTACTGAAAGGACTAGTACTGTATATCTATGCCATATTAGCCAAGTATTGTCAAATAACCACTTGGCCATTGCGTACATTTATGTCCTTGGTACTACGTAGACTGATTTGTTAGATTTGTTCTCTCATTTCTGTCATACTTTGTACCTTGTACATTGTTGCGTAATAAAAGTCATATGTTAACACAATCATCCAGTTAGCCAATTATAAAGCAGACAAATCCCCTGAATTCTGTCTGATGCCATCCTGTATAATGTTATCTCTGCCAGCTCTGTTTCCTGTGGGGCTCATTTCCACACACTAGTGCTGCCTTGCAACTTCCTGTCTGAACCCTCACTTACTGTAAAACTGAAAATATTTCTGGTAGTTTTAATTTTGCAGTTTTTGTAGTGACCTCTTATTATAAACTCATCATATCAAAAATGTATGGCCTATCTTTAATTGTTTATCTATGGGATGTTTTTAACGTAAACTATCCATTTTTACGGTAATGCATAAATTTATGTGATGCGTTTTTTAGTGACTTTACAGTATTTTCAGGCCTCCACAGATGTCTGCCAGACACACAAGGTTACACCTCCAGGCTAACACCAAGCAGATGTCGGAAGAGATTTTTCTGCAAATGGCAGATTTCTAAACACAGCGGAAAAATGAACTTTTGATGTTGAATTTTTAGACACTGGCTTGCAAGTCAGCAATATGAAAATTCCATAAGGATCAAATTCAAACAATGTAAAACATTGTCTTTTAATAAAAAAACATGAAAAGTTCTGCTGAAAAAAAAAGAAACAATGGACCATACCATGTTTACAATACACACTTTTCAACAGGGTCGATTTCACTTTTACATTATCATAAACAGAAAGGAAGTACTAAATTTCTATAGAGTTTAAAGGGATTAGAGGAGTAAATCAAATCACACTAACCTGTTATAATGTTAATCCTCTATAAACTGTTTATTATTCTTTTCTTTTTGTCTGTCTAGTTTGAACAAGGGTGTCAAATCATTTCAGTGAGAATCCTAACACTATATCAATCAAGCTGGGCTTACATGTACTTGTCAATCACCAGTTCAACATTTGTGGGAGGGGATTGTTGTTCTTACCACCATTTGTACTCTCCAAGCAGAGGTTTGAGGTTATTTTTAGCATGTTTTTAGGTTTTTTTAATCGGGGTTTCTTTTTTTTCCCCACCAAACCCAAAATCCAGTGCAAAAGAGAAACCCTGATAAAAAGCCTAAACACATGCTAAAAACAAGTGTTCCACGATCTCATACCTTCGCCAAATGATGTTAACCCTTGCGGTTGAAGAATCATACAATTTTAATCATTGATTTTGAAAATAAGAGCCTCATTACCATGGATTATATGTTGATCATATTTTCCACTCAATGACAACCTTATCTTCACAAAAAGGCTATTATAGCACTTTCTCATAAATTATGCAAATGAGGTCATGATTTGAATAAATTATGTTTATTGATGTTCGCCTTCACTTAACTTCCAAATGTGGCAAGTATGAAATTCCCAGAAGTTACAACTATGAAATTATAAAATATTCCCATTAATTATGAAAATTAGGTCTTCATTTACATAATCTATATCCTCAGATGTTTTTTTCGTTCTCTATTACATGTCACAAGTGTTTCATAGTCCTATTATCGAACGAAGCAGACTTATAGAATTTCCTCATTTATTATGCAAATTAGCTCCTGATTTGCATAATTATCATTTGATTGTGTCAAGCATCACTTCAGCTACCTACATACCAAAAATCATGACAATCCGTCCACCGGTTCTTGAGTTATCATCCTTCGAAAATGCTCCTGCAGTTCCAGAACAAGGCGCTAGGGGGGCCAAACTTATGTCACTTCTTCCCTACCCCAAGAGCTATCTACCAACCAAAATTCGTGACCCTGACATGTCCAGATTGCGAGATATCAAAACCGGAAGTTCTGCTGCAGTACCAACAAAAGCCGCCAGGGGGCACAAAATCTAATCATTTCCAGGTCTTATCAAGACCTACCCACCTACCAAGTTTCATGACAATGCATACTAAGCTTCTTGAGTTATGCTGTTCACAGACAGACAGACGGACAAACGCTACTGAAAACATAACCTTCTTGGCGAAGGTAATAACCCCAAACCCAAACCTCTGCTTGGAGAGTACATGGTTCACAGTATTGACAATTTACTACATAGTTCTAAGTCTAGAGGACAAAGTCATTTTCAATACCATTTTGTTTTGACTTCTTTCCTATATTTTAAAACTTCCCAATTTGTTGTCTTTATCTTGTGAAACCATGAAACAAACTGTGTGGTTAGAAGAAAATCTTTTAATTCATCTAACAAATTTTCAGACTACTGGGTGGTCCATAGCTTTCAGCTGATTCTCTGAACAAGCAGGTTTTTAGGGGCCAGTCTACACAACATAACATTTATATACAATATATATACAATTATCAATCTAATTTCAGATATAATACAAAAGGCAATTGCAATATGCAAGTATGTAATGTGTATGTGTACACATCCTTTTTCAGCAACGTCGTATAATACAGAAACTGCTGTATGAAACAAATTGTGGCAAAACACTTATCATTTACATTGTACTAGAAAACATTGTCAAATTCTGGGCCTATACAAAAGCCTGTAAGACACTAAGAGAGTTATTGTTACGTTCCTTTAGGGTATCATTTCCGCTGCGTTTGGGGGCATGTTTGCACGTGTGGATGATCACGCTAATTATTCTTTTAATCACAGATCAATAGCCAGGTCACTCTGCACCTGTCTGGCCAAAAGGGGTTTGTGCAGTTTAACAACATGTAATTATGTTGCGGGAGGGGAGCACGATTGCTATAGTTGTTTCGTAAAACTTGCATCTAACATTTGTATATACCTTCCAGTACACACGTACAGAAGCGTAGATTGTTCTAAGTTTGCAAGGACTAAATTCAGTGGTAGGACGGGAAAATAGGCATACCACTACCAGTACAAAAAATAGGCATTTTGATTTTGCTGCTGAACAATACACACTACTGGTAGTATTAGTACTACAGTATAGTGAGACAGAGCATATGTTCATGAAAATTACAGACATAAAACCACTGCATATGTCACAATTTACAGTATTCTAGCTTCAGCTTGGATACAAACCACCAAATATCAGAGAGCAACATCTGGAATTGGGTCACCTCACTCCTGTCTTTTGTATGTGGCAAGTCATATCCTAGAGCCCAACTCTTACATGTAAGTCCAAGCATTGCAAGGAATGCGTCCAGTCCGGCCAACACTTAAGAAACATAGCCACTTCTATCCCCGTTCATTTGCATACACACAAACACTGATAACAGAGAGATGGGCTTAAAATTACTCAACAGGAATCACATGGGGAGACTTGTGAGAATGCCCCAGTTTTCTCTACTGTGGTACCCAGATGTTACTAGTAGACTAATTGTAGGGTTGAAACCAAAAATCTATTAGGGTAAGAAAGGAGACAAAACCTTATTAGCTCAAGAAGGCTCTAGGAGAAGCGTTTTGCAGTGGATTTACAGGAAATGAAGCCTAATGTGCATACTGTAAATTTAGAAATGTTTGATTCCTATGATATTGGGATTTTCGTTTTATAATACACAACCAGTATTTCATTTCTGGTTGTGTACAAGAAAATCCCAATATACTATTCACTATGTTTTACCATCGGATCCTGATGAAATAATTTTTCTATTCAATGTCTGGAATCAAGATACTGCAATATATCTTTCCAATGTATTACTACCATATTTTGTTATAAAAAAATTGTTCCAGTTGCAAATTGAAAACACAGCAAAAAACTCCTTTTTCCCCTCGAAAAAAAGTCCCTGCAAAAATACAAATGTAACAGAATGTACAGTACCCAAGCCAGATAATTATTGTGCTTAGCCCCAACTGCTCCTGATGATTCTGCAACATCCCTAGAGGGTCAGCGTGGCCTATCATTATCAAAACACTGCTGCACTCCCATTTCAATTTTCAGATAGGGACTGTTTGGAAGAAAAAGACGTACTGTGCATCTTGAAATATTTGCCATACATACACAAACTGGCTCCAGAATTTCCATGTGTGTGTTTCTACTGTGAACTCAAAGACACATTGTATAAAACTGTATATTTGCTAGCTGTTGATTTCTATCTTGCCACAAAGGGTGCTTAAATGAATTTAAAGTTATTGTAGTACAATGAAAAAAGCATTATGGATCGTCTTTTAAAGCTCAAAGACAGATAGACAGAGAGAGGGTGCAACAAAAATTATGAAAAGACTGGACACTGTGTCAGCGCACACACTGGTGAGTTTTTTAAGTTCAGTGAAGCATATCCTTGTACCTCCCCTGTGTTTGCTGAGGTACTGGCTCCTCTGTGGCCATAACACAACGCTTACACACAGATACAAAGCTGTCTTTGTGTAGCATCAGAAATCTGGAAAATAGGCCACTATTGTCCGGGGCATCCCCAAACACAACCGAGGGAAGAGTTACAAAAGAAATCCCAATTTTAAAGAAACCAGAATAGGTTTAAATATGGGCTAAAACAACTGCATGCATTGTTCAACGTAAGGGTATTTAAAACAAAAACTATGATTTCAAAACAAAAATAACATGTTATTGTTTACACTTTTAATTCCAGAAATAAACGGGAGGGGATATTTAAATAAAAGAAATACAAGCATGTCAAAACCGCTTGATTTTCTACAACTATTGCTCAGAAAGAATGAGCTGAAATAGGAAATGATTTTGTTTGTGTAGATTTCAAAAACAACGTCGTTTGACTGGTTGAAAACAAAAATAACAAGTTTATTGTTTACGCTTTTAATTCTAGAAATAAAAGGGGGTATCTAAAAGAAATACAAGCATGGCAAAAATATTGTTCAGAAATAATGAACTAAAATAGGATATGATTTAATCATTTTGTTTGTGTAGATTTCAAAAACAACGGCTGGTTCACGGATGGGTTAGGAGACCACAACAAATCGGCGCCAGGGCTCAGGGGTGTCCGGTAACTGCGAACAAGCGGCACCAGCCTAAACAAACCCCTTTCCCTCTGATCTTCGAAGACATCGGGCTTGTACACTGACAGGAGAGCTTGTCTCAACTATTTACACAAAATACCACAGCCACTCTACCAGATTTATCCTTGTCAATTAATTAAAATGTATGATCAGAGTTCGATTTTTGCCTGGAATCCACGTCGACTATTTTTCTTTGGACAGAAAAATAAAGGGGTAACGCCATATGCCACACAATTTCGCTAAAAATCTCAGATTACAAGATTAAATGTTTTCCTTATACAGTATTCTTGTGTTTGTAGTTGAACGTAATGTTGCGGTTGTGTTGGCTAAAAATGAAAAGTTAGGGGAAAAGTTTTTAACGGGATGAATTTATTTACGAACCTGTGGCGTTCTCGGTCGCGAGGTTGCGGCATCACTCCTCCGTCGTCTCTCCCTTTATGTCCCGTCTGTTCCGGGCTTCAAAGGTAGCCTAGAGTCCCATCTCATCGTCTGATTCAGATCTGCTAGGATATCTGGCTGAACAGACGGATATTTGGACAGTAACGTCACTAAAGTCCGGCCGCGACCACAAAGGGGAGAATTCCGTCCGCTACGGCGGCCATGTTGGGTACTGTATTATGGGACAAGCTGGGCGGGGCGATTTTGTTTCGGAGGGGTGTTTTGTTTACTCTCTTCTTACTAGTATCTTGTACCATTATATTGTGCAAGTTGCCAATCAAAAAGAATATAGGGTAGATTATCAGAAACTTTCCAAGTGTAAGATATTCTTTAAAAAGACATTAAAAGTTTATATTTTCATCCCGTAGGACATACTATTAGTCCCTTTTAAAATAGAAAAGTGTCCTAGAATTGTTGTAAGTTTAATAACGGTAACGTTACCCTTTGTTGCATCGCATTGCCTGTAAATTGGGAAGAAATTCAGCAGGCTCCAGACCTATTTCATAGCACGTTCTTATGCCTATCGTCAGATAAGGTTGATTTTAACCTGGTCTTCTGTGCTTTTGCCTTGTTGCAGTACTGATATTTGCCGCCAGGCGACACTTCAAAACACTGTTAGTCCAAGTTCTGATGTGTTTATACTGGCGGAAAATATTCATTTACACTACTACATTCTTGGGCTGATTTCCTTGAAGTATCATGATGAATCGTTCAGTACAGTCATACTTAAAGCAACGACAGAGTCATAGTCAAAATTTAGTCAAAACTACATTGCAACGGGTACATGTAAGGTGCAGGTGAGAAAAAAATGGTCTTGCAAAACCATGCATATCTAGTATGTAATGAACATGTACAACATCACGATGTTGAATTTTAAAAGACGTACTAGTAATTTTTATAAGTCTCAGCTTAAAATGGTTCTTGAGTATTACTGTATATTACTGTACTCATGTATTGCTGTATTGCTGTATACAGTAGTGCTCTTATAGGTTCTACCAGGCTTCGGAAAGCGGCTGGAAAGAGTAGAAATTGGCTAAATAGGCAGATATTGCAGGAGAGTTGGTTTGCGCTATGAGAGAACAGTTTGCGGCTCCCTCTTGTTAGAGGCTAGTGCTCTTCACATATCGATTTCTCCTCAATCGTAATGAGAAAGCCAAACAAACCGGCTCGCGACACGAAACCTTACACCAACCACAGCTGCCCTCTGACACGTGCCGAGACCAAAAATACAGGACCGCAGAAAAACAATCCGACATAGACGTGGCTTAAACCCGTAATTCTACAATATCCCTGAGCTTCTGCTTTGTATCAATGTTGGTAAATCCGCAAAGCATAGCCAACGTAACAGCGTTTCTTGTTAAAACAAAAGGTTTTATTTTACAAGTGCTAACTAGCTGGTGAGCTTACGAATGGCAAGTAGAAAGCTGGGTCATTAAAACACATACATGAGCTAAAATTAGTGTAATGAGCGTTAGAAAGATTTTTAGAACTAGTTAGAAGTCTTTACATATTATGTTGGACTAATATATGCAATGACGTAGGTAGCCAGGATATATTTCATACACCCGGACATTCTTCGAGTGCTCTCAAAACAATACCATATCCGGGAGTACGGCAAAACCTGATTGGATGCGTGGATTATCATTTTTACTTTGATTGGTCAAAATCTACTGAACAGCTAGCAACACAGAATGTTTGATGACCAAAACATAAAACAGAAAAAAACGTCGATGGTTTTTGCTGTGTCCCAGCAAAGGTGAAATATTGGAAACATTTAACCTTTCTCGGGGTCACTTTGATGTTACAAGTGTTTACTAGAACTTAGAGTTTTCCCAAAGACTTTTGTTAATATCGGAAAATGAAAAAAAGCGAGCTGGATATTCCACCACCCGCCACCCCGGTCATCATACAACTCTACGAAGATTTGGGAGAACAGTTGTTGGATATTGTTGAAGAAAAGTGCGGCGGCGACCACAGGATAGTGGCAGGCGTGTGCCCGAATCTCACGGAGGCCAAGCGGACGGCGGATGGAAAAAACGCGGGAAAATCTCTGAGGAAAAACGGACAACGTTTGTCTACTACAAGCACCGAATGCAAGCTGCCATCCGTTGAAGGTGGGTTCACTCAGAAAATAAGACTGAAGGATGATATAAACGCCGATTTTGCATCATCTTATGAAAAAGAGACCATTGAAATCCCGCCAGAAAACTTTAAGACAACATTTAACACAATGGAAGGCAAATTCCCACCAAGGACAAGACCTGACAAGAAGACGAACGCATCCAAACTCAAAACGACTGCGCAAATGAACGCAAGAAAACCTCAAGGTGGGGGACGGGTTGGTGCAACTTTACCCAAGATAACGGTGACTTCTGAGGCCGCCAATAATAACAGTTTCAAAGGAGGATGCAGTGTAAGAACTAGACAACTTCAGAAGAACACAAGTAACAAACGCACAACAGAGAAGACTGGAGCGCATCTCAGTGTATCTGTACCAAATTCACATCTCGAAGACAAATGCAACACCGTGAATCAAATGTCACGAAAGATGACGAAAAGTTTGGATAACAACAAACGTGTGTCACCTCGGGATGGCGTAAGAAATAATAATTTGAGTGAGGACAAAACGGTAAAAGTAACAACAATCCCACACAAGAAAAGCAACGAGATAAAAAGCGAAGTAAAGACTTCACAGAAGACCACAGACAGCTCCATAGACAACGGAAACATTGCGAATGCACACAAGAACAATACCGAGAAAAAGACACAAGAAGTTCCAACAGAGAAAGCAGGACATTCCAAAGACGCTACAAAGACGAACGATACAAGACCTCCAGAGTTAAACAAAAATGTGAAAGATACAGAATCTAGCGATGTGTTGGAGAAAAAGAACAAGGAAATCGCCAGAACAAATGATGGAGCAAATAAACCAAGAGTCGACACCAAGAAAACGACAACTGATGTACATGTAGAGAAGAAATGGAAGTTGGAAGTAGACACAAGTCAGTTCTCTGAAAAAGAAAATAATTCCGTCCCACCAGAAAGTACAGTGGACCACAAAGACGCTGCATGTACTTCTAAACACGTCGTCTTCAAAGTAGGGCCGCCGTCAACAACTCGACCTACAGAAGAAAACACAAGAGCAGAGAAAACATTAAACAAAAGCAAAGAGAACATCAAACAAAAGAAGAAGACTGCTACAAAACCGATAACAAACAAGGCAAAAACTGATGGAACGAAAGAAGGAGAAACTGAAAAGTCGGGCAGAGACAGTCCTAAGCAGAAGAAGAACTTAAGACTTTGCGAGGTGGTGAAGCAAGGAGACAGGAGCGTCCCTAAGTACAGAGACATTCACCAGAACGTGAAGGAGAAGAGACATGGAAATAGAGAAGCCCTGGAGGTGACATCTATGCAGTGTGAGGAACTGAAGGAAGCCAACATGTACCTCACCAAGATTCTGGGGGTGGAGAAAAACGCAAGGACCATTCAGGTAAGGGGGTGGATTAGAGGAAAGGTGGGGGGGGTGGAAAAAGGGGTAAAGTTCGGGACGGGAGGAGGTTGAATAAGATCAGAAGGAAAGATCTTAGTGTTGTTACCTCCATCATGAAAAGTGGAGGTATTGTTTTATCTCTCTCTCTCTCTCTCTCTCTCTCTCTCTCTCTCTCTCTCTCTCTTTCTCTCTCTCTCTCTCTCCCTCTTCCTGTCTGGGCAACTGTGTGTCTGTCTGTTTATGTGTCCTTAAATTTGTGACCAGCATTACTTAAGAAGGCCTTAATAGTTCATAGAGGTGTGAGATCTCCACATTCTTGTTTTTGTTTGAAAATAGTCTCATGGAATACATTATGTTCTTTGTAACATTTTTTTCCAATATATATCTATTTCCTTCTTTCCATGCCAGTTGATAGATCAGCTGCAGCGTCACCAGAAGACTCTTGAGGCTGAGTTAGAAGAGGCGAGGAGGAAGGAGGCGCATGCGCAGGAGAGGGCGGAGAAGGCGGAGAAACACGTGAACGAGATCTCACAACAGGTCACTAATGTTACATCTCGTACCCAGGGCGATATATACATTCAAGCAGATGTAGGGTTCGGCTCAGTGTTACTAGTCAAGTGTCAATTTTAACTCCAGTGGATATGACCTTTTGACCTACTTTTGCACGTTTTTGCATCACGTTTTCTAACGGTTGTTATGACGTATACATGCACTGTGTAGGTTGAACAAGTGCGTAGGTCACGTGACAAAACCCTCGGCGAGAAAGAACAGCTACTGAAGGAAGTTGAAAAAGAGAGGAAGGCGTTTGAAAAGGTGAGCAGTTATCGACCAATTTGTACTTTTGGATGCTTTAAAAAATTAATAGCCTGTAGAGGGGTTAGAACATACATTAAATATGTTGTGGACTTTGTTTTGTTGTTCTAAATGTACAGGTTGAATAAGAGAGGACGTTAAAATTTTGCGAAAGAGAGAGTGATATTGCAAACTTTAAACGTACATTATGTCAATACGCAGGGGATTGCAAAGGGGATACTTTGTAGATACATGTTCTTTTAATCCTACTCAGATAAATGATCATAATAATCAAACAAATAGCCAATGTAACAGGATGGGAAAAAAGCTTGTAGCAATATTCATATCAGTAAGAAAGTTACTAATTAAATCTTGTTACATCACTGCACTTGAAACCACATCCTGCTACTATAGGTTCTCAAATGGGCGCATCGGAGTCGAAAGAAAAGAAAACATTATAAAACACTAGGAACTACATTGGATATTCTAGGTCAAGCATATCCGTAACAAGTACACACATACAATACAGGGTGTAGCAGGTACCGCGCACTCTTTCTAAAAAAATACTTGAAAACGTTCCAGTTCTGTGAACTGACGCCACAGTGAACACGCTTGTAAGTTCAGTAAGCTTCTAGCGTTAGTTTAACCGCCTTTTCTGTACAAATGTGGTGCGTATTTGTTTTTATGTCTACGTGTACTTTGCAGTACAACCTTTAATTGTTTGAGAGAGGCGTCAGTTGTTTTGAATGTATCGGCGGAAGCCATTAGTTGTTTTGTGAGAGGTGGTGACCAACAGGTACTTTTGTTCTGTCACAAAACTTACCTTTTAACCGTGTCTTTCTTTTGAATGCCTCCTGGCACCAAACAAAACTTACTTTAAAGGGTACGCCCTGAAATGCTGCATGATTCAGTATCCATTCCTAAAAGGTGTTTTTGCCTTAGTCGCCATACTTTGTAGCCGTCCCTGTGCATTGAGTACTCATACTCTCCAAGCAGAGGTTTTACATAGGCTTCGGCTAATTTTGGCGTGTTTGGTACGTACTGTTTTGTCGTGTTTTTTTTTTTTTGTGGTATCTTTTTTTTGCCAGCCTAACTTGGAGTAGCAAATGCTAACAGCCTGGCAAACGGATACAGCCTGTTTGATACAATTTGATATAAACTTTGCAGCCACCGAAAGATCTGTTTGGAGATTACAAGGTTCCTCCATCCAGAAGCTACTACCTATACCAACACTTTCTGCAGCCGATTCCGGGAACCGATTCCAGCAGCCGATTCATCATAAACTCCTGAGATCACGGTATAACGTAATTTCCGAACAGATTCTGTGGGGCAAGGAGAATATATTGGCTACCTGTATCCATTGGCCTCCAGTAAGGATTCAGATGGCATATATAGACTCTGTTTGCCCCACAGAACCTGCTTGGAGATTAGGTATAATGTTAAGTAAGATCCAGACTTTTAAAAGGCTCTTGTTTGTTTGTTTATTTGTAGGTTCGTCAGCATGTTGACTCGGTGGGTAAGATGCGCCAGCGCGCGCACCAAGTGAAGGAGAATGCCTTACGTCAGAGGAACAAGCTGGCCAAAGAGATCGAAGCCGAGCGCGCCAAAATGTCCGCCATGTTGCTGGCCATGAAGGAAGTCAACACGCAGAAATTCAACGCCGAGAGACGCAGACTCAATATGGTGAGCATAATTGTTGTTTTCTTTAATGAGTGAATTCGTTTACTAGTATTGTGCATTGATGTCCTTACAAGTTAAGCCATGAGTACAGGTCATAATGATACAAAGCTCTATGCAGTGATGCAAATCTGGTATCTCACTGAATCTATTGCATGCTAAGTACAGGTTCTACTTCTTGTCTCTTTTTATGATAGTTGTACGCGTAAGAACAGATGGAGCTTATACATTATAATACCTAGTTTTTGCTTGTTTTTCAATTGAATACTAAGAAGTGTTAGTTTGAAAAAATAATACGACCTTGTAGTATGTCTTTATTGTGTTCAGCCTACCATAAAAGCATTTAATTGTCTCTTCGTCTTCTCAGGTCCGAATGAAAAACAAACTAGCGAAGGAGAGAGACGAAGAAAGAGCCCGGCTACGCGAACTCCACGACACGATCGAAGAAATGAAGAAAGAAAAAGAAGAGGCCGTGAAACAAAAATACAAGGCCCTGAAGCAACGAGACTTGGCCAGAACAACTTGTAGGAAGTTGAATGGTGAACTGAAAGAACTACGCGATTCCGTGGACTCGTTGAACGAATCTGGATGCTACGTTCTAGAGACTTCAGAGAGGCTGACTGTTATGGAGAACACTCGGCGGCCACACCCCGGAACGACAAACCCGAAAAACCCGCGGTCAACATTCCCCTCCATCGATAACAAGTTGCCTAAGAGGGGGCTCAAAAGTAAAGCACCGCATCCGGGTGTTGCAAAGACAAAGAATCCCGCCAAATTACCGAAAATAAACCAGACACAAGCAGCGGTCGGTGCCGTCCCATCTCCTATGAGAGGCGGCTTCCCGAGTGTTCATAGAACCAGACCTGTACAGTACGACCAGTGGAGCCCCGCCTTCTCTCATGACGTCACGGAGAATGACGTCTACGATTGGGGTTTCTATGACGACGAGCATCTTGCACATCAAGATCTGACCAGGAGCTACATGCAATACGCTGACTTGCAGGCGACTGGTCATCAGAGAGCACTGGTCAATCGGCCTCCTCACGGTGGACAGTGGAAAAAGTATCCCACGGGCGAGACTTTGGCACCGCACTCCCGCCTTCGCCCTCCTACCATATCGGACAACGGTTTCCATAGCAACGCAGACGTCAACTATGAAGAGAGCGACTTCGCGACGAGTTCTACCACAGAGAGCGGTAGTCATGGCAACACGGTTGACAGACAGGTGTCGGCTCATTTGCAAGGGCTGTCAAGCGATCCGCGCGCTCACGTGACCGACTACCATGGCAACACTATGATTGACAGGCAGGTCTCCGCGCACCTCTGCCATTGGGACTGTGACTGCGCAAGAAATAATGTCGGCCAATCAGAGTCTGCGAAACTTCCAGTGATTGAAAGTGCTCAACTGTATCGCCCATCAGCGATTACGTCATCGAAAGTTGATCGTATCAAATTCCCTGAATTGTAAGCTATAATTTCTTAAGTACGAGAATACAAAGTATGATGAGAAGGGAAACACTATTTCTATCAACTTAAGGACTGTAAAAAAACTTGTATAGTTTCTACTCTTTAAATAACGAAAAGTACTAGTATGTTTCCATGTTTTCATGTTTATAATATCACATTTGAAGCTATAAATAAAAAGTGTACAAAGTAGCAAAGTACGAGTAACGAACATGTTTACATTGTACATAACTCGAGAAGAACATTTTAAAAGAACTTTTAATATAAAGATATGGAAGTACGTGTATATATTGTTTCATTATGACACCATACTTACATACCTACCGATATAATGTTGGCTGTTTGTATTGGTTGAGACAATAAAACAAACACTGAGCTAGGTACACATCTGTCATCAATGGCGTCGATTCGATTGCCCGATAGGCGTAGTTGTGCTGCATTCTTTTTGCAATCTAAACTGCTGTTTTCAAGCTGCTCGATCTTGCATGACTCCCTACTAAAAGCTTTCGACAATGCAGTCCTTCTACTAGTACTACTCATACCTTCCTCAGGGCAATGCTGTCTGGCCAACTATTATTACCAGGAAGAATTAGCAGTAGAAGGATGACCAGAAAGTCGGTAGCTAAACCCTTTGGCCGTACAACAAAGAACAGTATTATCTATTTATCTACCACCCTGATAAAGCTTTGCACGGATAACAACTTTGTTTACAAGTGTGCCGCGTGTAGCGCAATGTAGAGTGCCACTAGAGGACCACTTTTGAGTTAGCCACAGCGTGACCAAGTGCAAACAGGTGTTCGTTTTTTCATAGCGACCAATTTGTTTTGGCTTTTTCCACACTCAACTTACGGATACATGACTCGAGTTTGACGTTTTTTTAAAGTTGGTGACAGAGAAGCACAAGTTCAACAACTTTCCCTGGAGACAGTTATTTACGCTAGTCGTCTGCACGAGCTCACATCGATGGCAGAACGATTTGAGGACCGTAAAAACCTTGCAGCGCTCTTCAGCCATTATATAGGGATTATCCGAACCACCGAGCTGTTGGGATGTTCTTCGTCGGACCAATGGCGATGAGGGGATCGACGATCACCACGAAGATCAAACGGAAGGCCCCGAAGCAGAACGAAGATTCACGACGGCGGAACGAACGAGACATCGGTTCGGAGAAGTTCGACGTTGAGGGACTCGGCTTGCAGGTGCGTCCGACGACACTCTGTCTCGTCCGACAGCTCCGTACCCATATCACCGCCATGGAGGCCGACATAGAATGCAGGAAGGCGAAGAAAGAGATCGCTGAGAGGAAGACAAAAGAGGCGGAGAAAAATGCCACACGGAAATCATCTGAGTTAAAAGACGACCGACAACTAGAGGACCAAGCTCGAAAAGAAAAGGCAAAGGCAAGAGGACTACTAGAAAGCGAACAAAAAGCCCGCGTCAAATTTAGACGTGATCTTGATCATCTGAAATCCGTCAAAGATCTATCTGTCGAAGCCATGGAGAACGCCATCAGGCACACAGAGAGAGTGTCCACGGAACTAGACTCACTCAAACAAAGGCTGGAGTGGACTTCCGACATGATGCAGGGACTAAAAGGTGAGAGAGATCTCGCTGAAAGAGAGCGACTAGGCGTCGTGTACGAGAAAAACAAGCTGGCTAAAGAGAGGAAAGCTGTGAGATCCGAAACTAGCTGTCTGTTAGCGAGCAAAGATCTTCTAGCACGGGAAACATGGGAGGCGAGAAGAGACAGATACAAGGCTATCCAGGACAGGAACGACGCCATCAAACAGTGTCGTGAAATGCGAGGGGAACTCATAGAACTGGAGAGGAAAAAAAAGGAACTACTAAAACTCACAAGCCTGTACCAGGACCGTGTGTTGTCCATGTATCCAGATGACGACAGTTCGACAGACAAGCAAAGCGGTAGAGAGTCCTCAGTATCCCATGTAGCTAAGATGACAAGCCTCAAGCTGCCGAAAATCTACGGCAACTACACACTGAGTAAAACACATATGTTGGGAGGCAGTGGGGAATGCTGTGTGCTGAATAACACAAGGAAAGTTCCGCTGGATAAGGACTGTGGCCAAGACGGTGTTATTCTGCCAAAGGTTAACAACATTGCCGTTCACAACAAGGCTAGAAAATGAAAAAAAAATCGTCTGTAAAATACCTCATACGGTAGAGCTAATAAGGTAGCCTCCTTGATTTGGTTATACAAACTGTAAGGAGCGACTTGTGAAAGAACATTAATTTTATCTCCATAGCAGGTTTCTTGGCTGGGCCTTTTTTTGCTTCCTATCTGCTGTTTTATGATTGCACTCTGGGACTGTTAGAAACCGGGTAAAAGCCTGCTTTGGAACAATGGTTACTGCTTAATGCTCCAGTGCTATATGTTTTATCGTTGGAGAATAACAGAAAAGTGAGCGATTGTATGAATATCTTGTGAGTTTTAAGCAAATCTCGTCGATTGGTGCTTTTAAGCTAGATTACATGTTGATTGCAACTATATGTATTAAGAAATATCGAGCTTGTATGATTGCGCAGTGTTTATATTAAATTGTATATGTAACATTTTACAAGCTTTCAACTGCAATAATATGCAAATTGTTATAACGTAACATTACGTTACGCTCACATGCAAGTAAAATAAACTATTTTCCTTTCAAAATCGATATGTTATTCTTTTTTTTGTCGTTCCCGGTATGAAAGTTTATGGACGTATTGTTTTGTCCATGGATGGCTGAGCTGTGGAATTTTGTATCTGTCCTTTCGGATAGAGTACGTTGACAGCACGTGGGTTCGTAAAGATTGACAGACAGCAGAATGACAGGTCTAAGATCTCAAAATCTGACCAGGAGCTATTAGGTATTAGATCAACTTGGGGGAATTCAGGAAGCCGAGGATAGCATACAAAGTCTGAAATTTCCAATTTCTTGTTAAGGCATTCGTTTCAGTGTGTGGCATTGCAATCGGAAAGAAGCGAACGTTGAATACTTTGTTTTTGCGTTGCAAATCCCATCTTACTACTACTTGAACTTGAACTACAGCTACAAGTGCTACTGCACGCACAGCATCATGGGAACCTGAGAAATGTGAAGGTCTCCAAAATCTAGAATGGCGGCCATCTTGTTTCACACACATACGGGGACACACATTGTCTTAAAAGTGGTTCAAAATGATCAAATGTTACACTCATGTCGAGTGGTTTGTTGGCAACGGTCAGAGATTTTGTAAGTAGGTCCCAAATCCGGGTACTGTTAGGGTCAACGTTCTCTTTAGTATGAGGCGCTTACAATAATGAGAACAAACAAAAATGAACGAACATGGAGCATAAGCCTGTTATGTGGTCTTGTAATACCGTGTAAGGATTCCACTATATTTGAGTTAAATGTTTTATTAGGAATTCATTCATTTAATCAGTACATGTACAACCTGTCCTTCCTCATGCCCTCAATGAAAAGCAACCCAAAGACTGAATAGAGCTTCTCATGAACGACGTTGAATCAAGTTTCAAACATCTAAAGTGAGAACAACTTGAGGATACCTTCAAAGTGACAAAAAAAAAACGGCCCAAGAATGTAGGCATGCTGTAAAATGCCGCCACGCGATGTGGAAAAAATCCACACTACAATGCATCCTCTTGAAAGCAAGGTCTAGGGCTACTCCAAACGACAGAATAGTTCAATTCGTGGCAGCCCAAGTACCAAGTTTTTTGTTACGTTCACCACTTTTGTTTCAGCGCTGTATCGCCTTCCATGTTATCGATAAAAGTGTTTTCAAGTACAAAGCGGTTTTCAACACAGCTAACGTTTCATTTCAGATCAAGCAAAAGCTGTTCCGTAAAAGTTGTCCGCCTAGAAGGTAGAATGGACTGTGATGTCGCGAATCTACCGGAGGTAGAACATATCAAGCTAGAGTGGCGAGACATGGCGAACGATGACGAAGATACCCGACGTGAACCGAGTGAAGTCGAGGTCGATAAAAACGTCCCGTCGAGGGGTTCGGGAGATTCGGGCTTACTGCTGAAGGGTGGTGGTGACACAGACTCGCTGACTGGGGAATCAGGAGAAGAAGAAGAAAAGAGAACTAAAATGCGGGACAACTCGGTGGCTGAGAGAACGCACGACGACACGTCGTGGTCCACGAGAAACGACAACTCTCACAGCTTAAACACGGATCCAAAAACCGCCGTGGAACAAAACTACGAGCGGCGGCAACAACAGAATCTGCTACCGGCCGGATATCTAGACCACGCACACAAACTACAAGAAGATGTAAAGAAGCAATCATCTCGCATAGAAAAGCTGCTTGCCGCTAAACGACAGCTACAGACTGAGCTGCAACAGCTTGCCGTCAGAGAGCATCACTACAGAGAAAGGGCAGAGTACCTCGAAGAGAAAATACAGGCTATCACGGCAGAGACAGAGGAGACGAGAGAGCAGGCAAAAGAGGTGGTGGCAGTGCACGACAAACTACAGGGGCAGATAGAATGGCTGACTCAGGCCAGAGACAGAGCCCATCGCATCAAAACCACAGCCATGCGGGAGAAACACCGCATCCAACAGGAGCTGAAGATGGAACAGGCCAAGATGGACCAGATGACGGTCGCGCTGCGGGAAGCAAAGAAACAGAAACTTGTGGCAGACAGACGGAGAATCGAGATGGCGAGGTACAAGGACGATTTAACCAAAGCATTAGAGAAGGAAAGATCAAGAAGCACGACGCTTCTCGAGTCGATAGAGACGTTGAAGATTCAAATGATTGAAGCCATGAAGGTAAGAGACGACGCCGTGCAAAGAGAAGCCTCCATGCAGCAGCAGTGCGCCCGCCTGAGGAGCATGCTACGCCGCGAAAAGAACCCAGACTACGATAGACATGAAAGAAAAGGCTGTGTGGTACTGGACACGACAGAATGGCAGGGCGAAACACCCGGTTTCCGACTTCCGACGATAAACAGCAAACGACACTCAAATCAGAGACCTCCTCAGACTAGCGAAACCAAGATCTCACTACCGGACATACATGTACCCCCTCCGCAGCAAAGGAAGAAAAGATGTCGTCCCTTTGGACGAGTTTCCAGAAAAGCGCCGTCATTGTCATCATCAGGTGATCATACTCAAGATGTGCGAGACATGTGGAACCATCCACCAGAGAACAACCTCTCACACCACGCAAATCCACAGTCTAGGACCTATCACCGTTCTATACAGGGGGATAGCGCGTATTCTGGTAGCTTCGAGTCGCTACCCTACCTTCCTAACATCAACAAAAATGGGACCATTGCCGTCAACAACAACCCTTACACCGAACAACATATCCACCACAGAACTCGACCCAGAGTTTCCAAGCGCCATGAGCAAGGCAAGAGGAGCTCCATGCCCGACTTCCCACCCAAAAGACCGACCCGTTTCAGATCGTATTCCGAGGGGCAAGCGTTGATTCCAGCGGCACCGAACTTGTCAGACATCCCGAAGGATAACAGACTAAAACCTGTACATAACGGTACGGCTTTGCCGACCTGTATACAGAACAAAACATTGGACACTATCAGCAAGACAAACAACGAGCAGCAACTCAGCCAAAACCAAATGTTCCTGAAACAGGCATACTAGCAAGGTACATCTACGTAGATGGACTAGCGTTAATATTCATAATTTAAGGCTGACTCGAAGAACAATGAGAATTGCCGCTGAATATAACTTTTGAACACATAAGCTGTTGAGTTTCATAGCTTTTAAGGCCCATGTACATTTTGTGTTGAACTAGTCTGGTATCCCAGGTTTTCAACACGCTAGTACGACACAACCACGCCACATTTGTACACTATGTCTATGAGTATCGCTAGCCTATGTTGTAAGGTAGATTCACCTTGTAAAGAAATTATCAAAACATTTCTTTTAACATGTAGGTCTTCCTGACTGTACAACATAGGCCTTTAAGGTGATATCATAGTTACATTCGATGAAGTAAAAAAAGGCGATGGAATTTGTGTTTGAAGGAAAAATATTAGATTATAAGATTCATAAAGATGTTACAGTCCATGTCCTCATTAATGTGTTTTGTCCATGTTTCTATGTTTCTTGTATTGATTCTCTTATGATTCAATTGGCTCGCAATGTCATGTTGTGACGTCGTTACTTCGTTTTCAAAAATTGTGAAGCATTCTTTAACGTGTAAGCGAGTCAAAAAATCGATCACAATGACCCCTTGAAAACGCACACTGGAGTTCCTCGTGCGTAGTTGAAAAACAAAGACACAAGAGCACAAGTGTTGGGTGTAGGAGGTACAAGTACGTTGTCAAGATTGGCACGTGGGTCAAAAATCAACTATTGTGTGGTCGGTGTCAGAATGTCAATGACCTTTTGGACGAATTCTTTGATTTCCAGAAGGTCGTCGAATTTCAAAATCGCCAGAAAATCGAGCGAAAACCTACCCTATGTCACAATGGACGGGGTTCGTATGCCAACCACGCCCCAACCTACTCCCGAATACAAGCCAACCATCAGCCAACCTTTGCCGAACCTCCCGTCCACACCCGAATGCAGCCACTAGAGTTGTCCACCACTGTGTCATGTACCTTTTTCATATCGAGCAATAAATAAATAAAAACTAGAAAGGTAACATTTGCAAAGCAAATGCATAATGTTTACCTTCGCATATGGTCTGCTCTGGTCAGACAGGAGTATAAGTCCCTCCTACTATAAAATTGCAACATTATGTAACACAACACGAGTTACCATGGTGAGAGACGTCAACAAATCAGGTCATTGGCCAGGACAAAGGTCAGTGTTTGGAACAGAAGAAGAAGAGGAAACGTAGCAAAAACAATATGTTAGGCAATTTGAACGTGAGCAAGTCTGTGTTGGAATCGACCACCTCTGACCTGGGGGGGGGGGTGCTGTGATTTGTGATGTGTTGTTATTCGACTAGCTCACAACATGTATATTTTGAGCACGAGTGATTTAAAGCTTCCCTCGACAACCTGCCAAGCAAAAAAACATAACAGACATGCCTGGCATTCGTCAATGGAAGAGTCTATAATTTGTCCTTGTCTGACCAAGTCCAAAACCTCCAGAGATGCTCTATCTAACGTCACACTGTGTCTCTGCACTCAAAATCGGTGGTTGAAACTACAGTGTGGTTGAAAATATAGTCTCGTTATTACTGCTAATGCCCAAATAAACTTCTGTTGAAAACGCCGTCCTTTGTATAATTCTTTCCTCGCATCCCTGGAGGAAGAAGTGTTAAGAATAAGAACAGAAGACTTGTAACGTTACATGTAGTGTATGTTTTATAGATGAAGATATGCAAGGATTTTTCTTAAAGTTCAACAAAAGATCAACAAA